GTTAAAGAGCTATTTAAATAATGATAGAAAAGATGTTAAAGAGCTATTTAAATAATGATAGAAAACTTCCCTCACCTGGTGAAGGAAATAGACATACAACCCCAGGAAATTCAGTGTCTCAAGAAAGAGGAACCCAAAGGGGCCCACATCAAGACACATCATAATTTAAATGCCAAAGGTTAAATACAAAGAGAGAATCTTAAAAGTAGCAAGAGAAAAGCAATTAGTTATCTACAAGGGAGCACTCATAAGACTGTCAGCTGATTTCTCGAAAGAAACTATGTGGGACAGAAGGACTTGGCACAAAATATTCAACGTGATGAAAACCCAGGATCTACAACCAAGAATACTTATCCTGCAAAACTGTCATTTAGAGTCAAAGAACAGATAACTTCCCAGACAAAAATAAGCTAAAGGAATTTATCAGCACCAAACCAGTATTACAGAAAATGTTAGAGGGACTTCTTTAAGAAGAAAAATCACGTATCATAAGCAGGAATAAAGAATGGTGATAACTACATTCCTATCAACGAGTACCTCGAATGGAAAAGATTTAAGTGCTCCAACAAAAAGATAGAGTGGCTGAATGGATAAGAAAACAAGACCCCTATTATGCTGCCTACAAGAGACTCACTTTAAATTAAAAGACACACATAGACTAAAAAGAAGGGAATGGAAAAAGATATTGCCTTGATGGACCTAGAGGATATTCTGCTGAATAAAATGGGTTGGATAGAGAAAGACAAATATCACATGATTTCATGTTTATGTGGAATCTAAACAAAATAAACAACAACAACAAAAGTAGAAATAAACTCATAGATAAAGAGAATATTTTGAGGGCTACTAGATGGGAGGGGAATTGGGAGAGATGGCAAAAAAAAGGCAAAGAGATTAAGAGGTACGAATAGATAGTTGCAGAATAGACATGGAGATGTAGAGTGTAGCATGGGGAAGATGGTTAATAATGTTATAATAAATATGTAAGGGGGAAGAATAGTACTAGATTTAGTGGGGTGATTGTTTTGTGAGCATATGGATCTCTGATCACTATTCTGTACAACTGAATTGGCATATTATTGTATGCCAACTATAACTGAAAAAAAACTTGTTAAATTGTACAGTGTAAATATGAGCAACTAATTGTCTATTACATTTCAATAAAGCCAGAAAAAAATATTGAAGAAAAATATGTAAAACACTTTATAAGCTTAGGGAGAGAAATACCTTCCTAGATAAGATATAAAATGAAGATACTATGCAATTTATTGAATATAATTTATATCTCAATAAAATAATACAACTGGAAAAAGGAATACCATAAAGGGAAAAAAATGACAAATTCGACTACATAAATATCCTGAAAATGTAAAATATTTATATGGTAAAAACAAATAAATAAAGCATAAAGACAAATAATAAATAAAAAAATTGCACCATATACGATAGCTAACTAATTAATGATCAGCATATATATATATATATATATGAAAAATACAGGATGCAGTTGAAAAATAGGCAAAGGTTATAGACAGGCAATGGAAAGAAGAAAATTTTTAATAGTCATTAAACATGAAGAGATGTACAGCTTCACTACTAATTGAATACAATAATTTAAATTAAATTGTATTGACTATAATAATTGAAATTAAAAGAATCAAATATTTTTCTCATCATTGTGATAAATAATGGAAAAGATTAATAATATCCATAGTTAATAAGGCTTCAGAGAAATAGATATTATCATGCAAAGATGATCAGAGTATAAATTTGTAAAGTCTTTTTGGAGAGCATCTTGGCATTATTTATTAAAAATTTAAATATGCATAGCCTTAGGCCCAGCAATTCTTTTTCTAGGAATATAACCAACAGAAACACTTAGAAAAGTATACAAAAATGTTCACTGAAGCACTGGTTGTGTTAATAAAAAATTAGAAGTTCCTTAAGTTTTCATCACTGAGGAATGGTGGGATGTAGTTTGGTATTGTCTTGCTATATAATATCAATTACAAAAAAGTACATATAATATCATCACCAATACTTATAAAGCATTAAGTGTAGTGTTGTTAAAATATATGTCTGTGGGTATGCATGAATGCCAATAGGAGAGGGACTTGAAAAATTTAAACCAATAATTGATAATGATTACTTCTGGGAATGGCAATGGAAATGATATTAGGGTATAAGCAGGGAAAAGACTCACATTTTAGTTTTAACACTGTTTGAAACTTTTACATATATTGTCTTTTACATCATCCCTGTGCCACAGCAGCTTACAAAAACACTGGTATGACTATACAATGTTGTATAAACAGTGCTAAAACAGAAGCCATAGGACGCCATAGGTGGGAGAGGTGAGCCTCCCTTGCTGTGTCTGCTGTGCCACAGAACTTCCTGTTCCTCACACTTCCTTAGCCTCTGGCAGGGCCATGGGGAGGAGGAAGAAGACAGTGGAGGGCTGGGAGGAAGAAAGAGGAGAAGGGAAGTGGAGAGGAGGAGAGGAAGGGGATGTAAATTTTTTATTTCCAGTAAACTCTTATGAACTACCTCAGCTTTCTGGAACAAGTACACATCTAAATGTTCTGGAAGGAATCTGCTTTACTCACTGAAAGTATATTCACATTAATGAACTAAATGACTGCATTCATTTGAATGTAGGGAACCTTTTTATCTATTCTAATTGACAGAGAGCCCTTACTGCTGAGAGATTTAGTGTGCAGCTCCAGAATATACTGTGACATAAAAATCAAAAGGACATATATACAATCTTATATTTCAGAGCCAAGTGATCTTCAGAGTGGATTTCCTCCTCAGCTTTTGGTCATCGGATGTATTTTTCTGTTTTCTGTGCCAAAATATATATTTATATTAATACTCATTGATGCTCTTGAATTAATTGGTTTAAGGAGAAAAGGCACACAACATTTCAGATAATATATCATTCTGTGCTTAAGAACATTATAATAAGCAAACTCCAAGGACAAAGTTTGACTGCTTAAAGACTATGCAAATTATTAACTTTAACATGTACTTTATTCATATAGGATATTAAAAATACTTTTCATGAATGAGCTTTATTCCTTGAAAAAAGCTTATCAAAACAACATCACTAATACCTTTAATATTGTATATAATAAAATTAGATTATTTTTCATATTTGGGACTATCAGCTTTATTTTATGATCCTCTGATCTTGTGCCAGACTAAATTCAAAGCAATCAAAGATGTAACTTTAGCACACAATAGCAATTCTTATTAAAACTGTGAGACGCATCTTCTTGGATAGAACATTTATGATAAAAAATGATAACCTTCAAATATGGCACTTGGTAGCTATGATATTCCAGAACACGGCCCACACCTTCTATCATTCTCCAGGAAGGGAGAGCAATCTCTGGTCCTTTGCCCACTTTTGGGTGAATTTCTCAGTGAGCTATTACAGCTTGGGTCTTCGATCAGTTCCTTTGAGCAACAGATCAGAGCCACCAGTCTTCCCTGCTCGGAGGCCTGGCAACTGACATCAGGACCTTTCAATGGGTGCCACCTCCCATGGGTGCCCAGCACCCCATGGCCAAAGCAATCAAGGCTGCATAGACTTAAGCTGGAGATGAAGCAGACGGCCAGTCGCATCTTTCAGAATTGAAGGAGATTTTGCTTAGAGGGTGGACAGGGCAGCATGGGGCTAAGCTCTTGTTCCTTTCTGTCCTGGCTTTCACATCTACAATATGAGTCAGCCTAGCATTCACAAAAAAAATCTTTCCTCACCTCCATGGCCTAGCTCATATGGTTGTGGCCCTCAGAGGCCAAGAAGATGTGTTCTAGCTCAGCAGAGCCATCCTGGAGGCCCCTGCTTGGCTGACTATAGGGAGGACCACTGACCTGTCCCCAGCACCTCTCCACAGAAAACAGATGCACTTACCTCTCATTTCCATCTCTGAGGAGCCATTAGACCAGGCCGTCCACTTATTCCTGTGCTTGCTGATTTCCTGAACTTTGCAGACATAATGTCCTTGGTCCGCTGGTTGAAGGGTCAAAATGGAGAGCCTATAGAGTGCCCCACGCCTCTCCTCCAGGAGGCGCAGCCTCTGCCGATAGGTGCTGCGGCTGAAATTCCCATAGTACTGCACTATCCGGAGCTTGGTCATCTTAACCATCAAGGCCTCTTGGGAGTCAGGGCGTGCAAAGAACCAGCGTACAGCCAGCAAGCTGTCCTTCCGCCTCTTCTGAGAGACATGGCAGAGAAGAGTGGCATTTTCCCCCTCCAAGTAGTCAACCACGGGCCCTGGGGACACGGTGACATTGAGGGCCCCACAGACCTCTGCAGAAAAAAAAAAAAAAAGGAAGGAAGAAAATGAGAAAAGCCACAGCGTTTCTACAGGTTGATACACAGTGCGTCTTTTCCTCAGGAGCCAATGTGATCTTCATGGCCAGAGAGTTAGGCTGCCCCAGCCCCTCCATGCTCAACTTCTGCCTTCATGATGGCCAGAAGGAGAGTTCCTTCTCGGGGAGCCTCTGTGAGCACCCATGTCCTCTTCTATGAGGGGATCCCACTCACGTGGGTTGCCATTGACCACCTGGCCCAGAGGTATTTAACTTTTCTTTTTTAATTATAGTTACTGATGTTTAAAATTCAGGAGATTTTACATAAATATTTGGTTTTTGGAATATCTTAAACATTTCCAGCCCTTGTCCATCCCCCTTGCCCTCCTCCCCAAAGCCTGCTTGGATCGGTTTCACAAACTACCTGAGTGGGCAATGCCAAGTGCTGCCTTTCTAAGCCCCTTTTCCTATCACAGCTATTTCAACTGTCAACAAGGCAGATTAGCAGCATTCACTGGTTAGCCATGAGTTCAACTAGTACTGGGAACTAGAACCGCAGAGGTTTCTCAGTTTCTTGCTCTAAGTCTCTTTAGATTCAGAGTTGAAGTGCAGGAATAAAGAATGATAAGCCCAAGAACAGGGAGGGGTGAGAAAACTTCCCAACCCCACAAAAGATGCTCCAGAATTCCAGGCCTTGTAGACCATTTCCTGTTCTTTGCTTAATTAGACCCACTCAAAGGGCTGCCCTTCTGGATTGTGCAAGGTAACTACTGGGCTGCCCTCATGGGTGGCGCCATTCTCTGGCAGTAAGAGCCCAGAAACGATGCTTTGCACAGGATGACCAGAAACAGCTCTGTCCAAGTAGGACTGTCTTCTCACCAGGTTCCAGATCTTCACCCCTGTGAGGCCCAGTGCACAATTCCAGGAAGCACCATTCCCTGCTTACCCCACTGCAAAAGCAAATATCCTGGGGTCATCTCAGATTATAAATGTCTCTCAAAGATTACCTGGTCAAAAGTAGAGGCTTGGGCCCTGATGTCAGAGTCACCAAAATCTCTGAACCTTAGTCAATGCTGCAGGTGAGTAAGGAGAAAGGATGACAAAGAGATCAGAGAACTGAACCTTACACTGTGAAGAGGCTGTGAGTCAACAAGGTGAGGCCTTGTGTGTCTCAGAGTGGGCTGAGGGTGCCAATAAGCTCCTCCTCTTGTATGGTTTCCACTATTGATTTAATAAACTGAACACCTTGAGAAACATGACTTGAAGGTCAATGTCTTTTAATTTTCTCATCTCTTAGAAGCCAGGCCTACCAGGATTCTACAGGGACACTACACGGCTCTTAACTTAATCACATCATGAAGTGCCTTTTGCTATATAAGGTAACATTCAGTTTCAGGGATAAGGACACAGACATCTATTCAGCTTACCACACCATGACAGCATTTCATTACCTTAAAAAAATAGATGGAAGTAAATTCAGAAGAAAAGAACTGATGCTCATCTAGTCTCTAAGCGGCTTGTGAATAAGAGTGAGGTTTTCTGCTTACAGTGACAAAAGACAAAGCTGGCCCAGGCAGTTACTCCAGGAATGCAGATCAACAGATGACCAAGGAAGGCACACACTCTCTAGTAACAATCTCTAACAATCTCACTGTCCACACAAGTCACTCACCCAGGACAAAAGGGAAGGAATTGTCCCAGCTTGCCCACCTGAATCTCACCTTGCCCATACACCATATTAAATTAGTCCAAGAGCATTCTCCCTGGCTGCTAAGGCCCTCTCCCATGATGGGCAGGGGCAAGGGGGCTCCTGGTGAGTAGCAACACAACCAAGACACCAGGCTGACCCCATTCTGACAGCTGCCCAGGGT